TAGTGTTTTCTTTATCTTTTGCATTTTGTTTTTTGGAAAAAAGAGGAAGTTCTTCTACATTGTTCGTAGAGTATTGGTCGTGTATGTGGTGGTCCAAAGATCTAAAATTTTGAAGTTATTATTCTGGGAAAATAAGGTTACGGGTTATCTTCAAACAAAAAATTTTGAAAAATGGGAAATCCCCACAAAATTATTTTTTTTATAAATACCCAATTAAAGATTTTGGACATTGGGAACAATCCCAGAAAAACACAATCTGGAATTTCAAAAACTTAGATTCACTCACACTAAAAGAAGTGTTGAGCAAGTTTTTCAAAACTTTATCTAGCGTGCTTGCATTTTTTTTTCAAAATGTGATCTTTTTAGTTACTCATATTGTGTTAGGAACGTAAATTGATATTTTCGAAAGAAACATGGCTCTTGAGACTGATTTTTTACCTATGTTTACTACCGTAGGAGGTGATTATAACAGTGATGATAATGTGGCTGCTGCTGAGAAAGATGGTATAGATGATTTGAGTAAATCCTCGAATGGTAAACCTGCAAGGAATATATGTGTTGTATGGCATCACAAGTGTTACTACACTAGTCTCACCATTTGATTTGGTAAGTGAACTCTGTTCATCAATCAAGCTTCAATCTTGTATGGTTCTATTAATCAAGTTTGAAGTTGCCGGTTTATTAGCACGTAATTTTTTTATTGTTGTTATGTAATTGTCGTTCCAGTTCTTATTTTAGTACGATGTGTGAGTTGCAATACTTGATCTTAAATTATGAAGTGAATCAATTGAAATTCTAACATTTAGTTGCAAAAATAGATGAAGGACGTCTCTTTTAGTTTGTATTCCACTTGTGAACACTAAAAGAATATGTTGCAATGATGCATGAAATAATTGCAGATCTTGGTGAATAATCATGTGATTGTGCATGTGTTCGTAACTTCTATGATCCTCCATTCTGGAAATTATCCTCTTATACAACAGCAAAGTTTTCCTTTTAGTAATAGCTACTTTCAGTCACATATTTTTTAAATGCACCACGACTGGCTATCAACCACAAAATATAGAGAATGTTTACAATTCAGTTTACATGCTAAGTTTGACTGCTGTCAAAAGAATAAAAAAATATATGTGCAACATATATTAATTCTCTACAAAAGTTAATTTTTTAACTTACAATATTTATATGTGCCTACTTTCGATAAAGTTCAACGTATAATGTTGAAAATATACCTAATGAAGTCAATTGCTTATTTTCAATACATTATTAACTTATTAAAATTAAAGCTCAAGAGAAATGAATATGATTGATACCCAATTCTAAACCTATTGCCATGGCTAATTAATATGATTAATGACATCAACAATTTAAAATTGTTTAATAAAATAAATTTGAAATATGTTCTTGTTTCTTAATCTATACGGCAAAAAGACTTCCACTCCACGAAGATATTAAGAAGATTAATGGTAATCCTAGTGATCACAAAGTGGACAGTTAATTCTAGTATATACACAATTGTCGCGTCTAGACCAAAATAATAATTTTACTTTTCTTCATTGTATTTTCATTATGGAGATGCCCAACTGACCCCATTAGATTTAAATTGAGTGGTTATAAGTCCATTACACATAATTTAATTATAACTAGAGAAGACTAAATTGTTTTCAAATGAGCTTACAATCCTTATTTACAAATTTCTAGGAGAACTTTGGGATAATGAGGATATTTAGACCTTTTCTATGTGTAGTAGTGTTATTCGTTAGCAGTATTATAGCACTAAAGAAAGCCAAAAAAAAATGAAAGAAAAATTACAATTACGAGTAGATTGATTCCAACATTTTTAAAGAGTAAAAAATTTGAAAGCATTTTCTGTAATAGAACATGCCAACCACAAAATGCACCACGACTATTTGAGTTCTTGTTAAGTGTGTTTTACATGCACCACGACTCACTATCAACCACATTTAAGAGGATAGCAATCTTCGAAATCGTCTGAGCATTCGAACTTCAAAAGTTCACAAGAAATCAAGTGCTCTCTACGTTAATCTTGTTTTCGGATTCTAGTATGGAATTAGATTTTATATACACTACTCATGTCCTAGCTAATGTTTCTGCCCATATTGGCTAGGATTATCATCTTGGGGTAATAGAAATCAAGTGCAATTGTATGTCATTTGCGTTTGTTATGTCACCAATACATTTAGTTACTGTACATAACTTGATTATTTTCTGTATCACTGTTCAATCTCTTCTGCCTTCATTTGCTTGCCTCAAGCAAAAAGAGAAAGTAAAACAATGTTGACAGTGTGATACTTCTAATTATTTTGTTGTAGGTATTGGAAATGATATAATTTTAACTTCATATGACACGTCTATTTGAGGTTGCACTTATTTTATGGCTCCTTTCGAATGCAAAGCTTAAAGATTGTCATGGTGCTATTTTGTCAGCTATGGTTGAATTTTAGTTTGATCTATTAGAGAAAATTTTGGGGATTGAACAGGATAATGGATTTGACCATTATAAATTAGCTTTAATATTACTTTTGGTTATACTTGATATACACTTTCATTATATAATGCTTAATAATTAAAATATTTGGAGATTGGTATTGAAGAAATGTGGCAATTTGCATTCCGCCCCTCAGCCTTTGACTTAGTAAATTATATTTGTTATTTCTTTGCCTTAAAGTTGAGAATAATTGTTATTTCTTTGCCTTCACTGAATCCATATAATTCACGAGCTACATCATATTTATGAAATGTATTGTTTATGATATGTGAAAGGGTTGTTCATTTTTTGGTGATTAGATTGCATGCACGTTTCCTATTCCATGGGTGATTAAATTATTTGCTTTGTACGTTAATTGGATAGATAGTTATGAACATTCTGTGCTGTGTCATTTTACTTTAGCACACACCTGATGCAGGTAGGCAGCAGATTCATTAGGAGGGTTGATTTTAGAGTTGATCATGTGTGTTGATCGAGGTGTGATGAGGAATTTTAGTAGAATGATCAAGAGTAAAGATAAAATGAAGGTTGAGGCTAAATCAAGAGGTAAAGTGATTAGTACCAAAAGACAGTCAAAGGGACCCAAACCTAGGTTCATGCCTGAAGATGCAACTTTGGAGACTATTACTCCTATTCCATATGATGTGGTTAATGATCTTAAAGGAGGTTATTAAATTACTTCAATTCCATATTGGGATATAGTTAAGTGGAACGGACATTGAGACGGGACATTTCTTTGTGGTCTAATTAAATTAATGTTCATGTTACTTGGTGAAGTAGTAGTATTTTGTACTTTAATTTCGTTAGAGTTGAAGGTGTTATAGCTCTACAAATGATTCATGGTATCTAATGATTTTGTGTGTAATGGAGCGTGGTCGAAGGATGGAGGACAATGATTATTTTAAAATTCGCATTAGCGTAGTACTAATAATTCGTTGTTGTCTTTGCTACGTTGGCCCCAACATTACAACCGGTGTCTTTTTATTTCAACATGTGTTTTAGTATAAATTAGATTGTTCGTACAAATTATAATTTGTTTGAACAATGGCTTGTTGTGTCACCCAATGTTCATCTTCATTGGCAGAGACATTAATTTTATCAATTTCTAATGCAATTCAAATGATTTAGAATATAAAAACTGTATTCAATTATGACTAAAAACTACAAAAATTTAGTAAAGTAGTATGAATTCCAAATTGATTGTCAATCTAGCTGCAGGAATGTTGCCATTACTGGTCTTGCACATGGGTACAATTTACTCATAATTCTCACCATTTATGGAGAGAGCCTAGGGGTGAAAGTACATTTACACCCTAAACCATCACACCAATGGTCAATCAAGTGTTAAATAGAAATGAATTGGTGGTTGGTTGCTAAATTGCTTTAAATGTCCTCAGAAACCTCCAATACATAGCATGACTTACACTATTGAAGTGGGATACATGAGACTCTTTATGAGGCATCTTGTAGCAGGAACGTATCTCAATATTTTAAGTCCGTTTCTTCATATCAAAACAATGGCATCGTCCACGGGAAGCAATTCACCGCTGCCAGTTGAGGAGCCTTTGCCAACACCCGGTTCAACCCCACTATGTCCCATCGTAATTTCTTCGGACGATGAGGAAGTGAGTTCGAATGGTGGTAGGAAAGCCATCACCGTCGTTCCCTTTCCCAACCTGGACGAAGTTGTAAGTGATGCAGGCAAGTCTCCGAGAAATGTGTTTGAATGGGTCGTCTCATTTATGGTTGTAGAGGAGTTGAACGTCACGAGGATGAAGGGCTGGGTCACGTTCCGTCGCCCAAGGTAATTGTCATCAGCTCGGATGATTCGGATGATGACGGTGGGGAAGAAAGTTCAAGTGTTAGCTCCAAGTGAAGTGTCTGGCTTTGTTGCGTGTGTGGGTTTCTACATATGTATGTATAGTCTTTTTTTGTAAGGGATGAATTTTGTTACGTATGTACCAATTGTGTAGCATGTAGGAAACTCCCGTTGGCATGTTATGTGTATTTTGTATTTTGTTAGGTGGACCGTAGAGCAACTGATAATGGCAAGCACCATCTGTCGGGAACGACAACTGAACTATCGGGGTTTACTGGCAAATTTTCTGTGTCCGTAATATGCATATGAATTATAACATGTATTTTGGGTGAACGAACACACCCTCACGTGTACATTCAACGTACTTTATGAACAATGCCAACAGTGTTATGCACTAAAAATGATGTGTTCGTAATATGCATATGAAAGGAAACATGTATTTTGGTTGAACGTTTCCTATTCTATACATTCAATTTACTTTGTGAACAATGGCAACAATGTTATGCACAACAAAATTGTATTTTGGTTCGAGGGTGTTATGCAGTACGTTCTACCTATTTGCGTACTTTAATTGTGAACATAAGAAAGAGAACTGTTTATGCGTAAGTGAATGAAAATAGTATTACAACATTTACATTGTCATATACAAACAACATCGGGGAAACAATTAACTTACAACTTCAACCACTCAAGTACAAAATGTTGTTTACATCGGACGTGGTACAGTGGGGTTCGAACATATGGTCCGATTATGACCAAGTCCATCGCAGCGAGTGCATTTCCTGAGTCGTGTGGTACACTCGTGTTTGGATCGCTTACGTTGTGTGGGTGGTCTATTTGGAGGATGACGTACGCTGGGGGCATAATAGGAGTACCTGTAATTTCGGCTGGAACAATCCAGTCCACTTCATGCGCAACAGGATATATAGCTTCTCTGTAGGCACCCTTCCAGTATTCGGATCTGTAATACGGTGAGCATAGATCATACAATGACTTACCTCTCAAGCAAGCAGCACGGGTTGCGTGAACGCACGACATACGATTCAGTTGGAACTCACGACAAGTACACGTATTTTCGGAGAAGTCTACGATGTCCGTGTCGTTAGATATTCCAACTTGTATTAAGTTATCTGTCAAGCCATGCGCTCGCAGCCTAGTACTTGCTTCGAACGTCGTCCGTAACTCATTCTTCATCCTTGGTGACAGCACGGTACTGCATGCGGTTGCACTGGCACGACGTTCATAAAACCACTTCTGCATAGTATGTCGAATGTGTTCCACGAAGCATGTGATCGGTAACGAACAAGCATATCTCAATATTGAGTTCAAAGTTTCTGCGTGGTTGTTGGTCAAAATGTTGTACCGTTGGCCAACAAATAGTGCCCGTGACCAAAATGGAAAACCTGCTCGCTTTAAGTACCTGTACGCTCTTGCACTTACCCTACGAAACTGTCTTATAAGTCTTTCAAACTCTTCAATCCAGTAAGTTTTTGCAGCTCTTTTGAATAGAAATATTGAACTTGCGTTGTTGTACCGCTGGATTAAATTCTTTTCCATATGTCAGACACAGCACTCGTGATGAGCCCAAGAAAATAGGTGGGCAATGGCGTTTTCAATACTATTTTTCCTGTCGGAAACAAACACCAATTCGTCTGAGTCACCTATAAGATCTTTCAAATTTGATAAAACCCACATCCATGATCTATTCGTTTCGGTATCAACTATCATCCACGCTAACGGATAAATCTGTTTGTTGGCGTCTTGGGCAGTTGCCAGTAGAAGGGTACCTTTGCATGGACCTTTCAAGTGACTGCAATTAACACAAATAACAGGTCTCAGGTAGTGCACGTAACCCGAATGCTTGCACCGAAAGCTAGAAAAAAGTAGTGAAACCTGTTACGAGAATCAACTTCGATGTGTGTTACTGTCCCTGCGTTACTCTCTCCTAGGACGTAACAGTAGGAAGAAAGTTTTTGAAAACTATCACCCGGTGTACCATGTAGCATATGTAAAGCAGCGACCTTCCCCCTACAAGCTTGATGGTAACTAATTCTCACACCAAACTCACGTTCCATGTCACGTGCAATAGCAATAGGATCATACGATCAGTACGGATTATCCAATTTTTCCATAATCTGCTCGACAATTACGGAACTAGTGGCATGTCAATGTGCATTACGACAATAATCTATGGAACATGTGTGCACATTATTGAATTTGTGGATCATGAAGATGGCGGACTGTTTGACACTCGAAGCACGTAACATCCACTTGCAATTATCGTCCGTTCATACAACGGTTAACATTTTTAGGCTTGACCTGCTAACCTGAAATTGAAACTTGTCTCGCAAAGCAAGTAGACGAATTCTCGAGTACAACTATTTCTTATTAAAAAATATTTACCTTTCGGTAAGATCCGACGTATTCACAGTGAAAATCCAGTTGCATGTATTCGGACTTTTGGAATGTGATAATAGTTCTTCGTCAACGTCAGCAATATTACCAGTATTTGTACCATGTAAGGGGTCGTCGAACATCTCATCTAATGGTGCAGTCCCAACATCGAAAATTGAAGTATTGGCTGCATTATTGTTTGGGACACTGTGCTGATGATTGAGCTCGTCATTCTGTACGGTTTGGTGATCTTCCGCTGTGGTGAACAATTGTTGGCTATAATTTGTATCCCTCTCCATTTCAACACTTGGCAGGCCGGTTTCCAAAGTCGTAACGCAGAGAGCAGTTTCCTTATAAACTGATATGTACTAATTTACGTCTTCATCTTCGAGTATTTTGGTCGGCAGTATATTCATGTTGGGAACTTTGAACTTCAATTCCATTTTTGTGCACAGATGGAGAACACCAAGTTTGTCGTTCAACCGTAACAATAGCCCGGGTAGTGTAATACTGCTCGACACTAAAATAGAAGTGGTTTTGTCCCCAGTCCACTTGCATTTTCATTCACGTGAAAGAACTTTCCCTCATGCGATACGATGAATCTCAAATTATTGTTCATACCTGAATTGTTGGGACTGCAACGATAAGAATTATGCACAATCAATATGTCGATTATATAATAGCATGGAAATGACACGTTCGAATATTTAACCCTATGTAGTAGTACAAGATCAAATGAAGGGTGTCAAGAGTTTTCAGTTGTCAAATTCAAAAGTTTAGTTATCTATCCTGACAGTTTATAAATGTCGGGTTCGATAGTTAAAATGTCGATCCCGACAGTTTCGAAATGTCGAGTTCAACAGTTCAACTGTCGGAACTGCCGGGAAGCTTCAAATGTGTTTGGTAGCATTAATGGTTATAATCATTTATTAACTACAACAACTACAACATCACAACATATTTCCAAAATTAAATGACTGAATGCTTCATTAAATATGAAATACTTCACATTTCCCTAAATATTTTTGGTATGTTTTTCCTTCAAAAATATTAAAAAAAAAGAACATGATGATTAATATAGTGATTATTATGTTGTTTTTAACATTTTAAAAAGAGTAAGCTATTACATGAAAATATAAATAATTCGTAATAACTGACCTTTCAAAATAGATGAAAAAGATGGATGAAGTAATATCTTCTTGATCAAGAAGAAAATGGATAAAAAAGATGAATGAAATAAGGGTTTGTTTAATAAGAAATTTATTTTTTTTGTGTTAACTAAGGTTTTTAAGGATTTTATATTCATTTTTTATTAACTAAATTCGTATTTTACAATATAATATTCATATATTCAATTATTATAATATACAAATTAAACAATCAAATTACAACATTAATTGTTTTGAAAAACAATCATGAAGGAGCATTAAATGCTCCAAAAAAGGTCAAATTAATTGTAATTTAAACATTTCACTACAAGAAAGTGACATTTTTGTACAAATTGTGTGCACATCAAAATTTTTTGTGCATTTTAAAAAAAAAGTGACATTTTTGTAAATTCCCCTAAAATTAAATAATAGAGCCCGTGGATTCAAATCTTTTTAATTTGTTAATCACAATGAGTTGTGATTGTGATATACAAATTACATATGATTGAATCTTAAATTGTTCGTGGTCGTATATAATAACGAGATATGGATATCGTTATTACGGATAGACCATCACGTGTGGCATTTCTTACTTATGAAGTAAGTAACCGATCTCACAAGCTAAAGTGTGGTGATAATTGAATAAACACGTGGATGTTTTGTTACAGAACAAAACATTGGAGACCCATCGAGAAATTCCACATGGATAACTATCTGAGTGTCAGTGGTTAATCTCTAACGTTCCGTAATGGAATTGGTCCTTTGACTTGACGTTGTCATGGTACCTTATATGAGGACAGTCATACTTTGACAGTATTGGAAGTTGCTCTTACAATGGCCACTAATACGGCATCGTTTAGGTATGTCAAGAATCGTATAAAGGTTGTAAATAACCAATAGAGGATTTGTCACTTTTAGATAGTAAGAGATTATGATATGCGTTTTATTCAATTAAGTCGATAACGAAATCCTTGACCAAGGTGTATTCATAAGTCGAAAAGGAGTTTTCAACTTATATTTACTTAATAGTGGGATGAAAGATATGATCGGTAATCAAGATTGACACACTTCCATATCTCGTGAATTAATCGGATCATATTGACAAAAGAATTATAGTTTCACGGTAAACGAACGAGTTTGATTTTGTCATACCACATGACATTTTTCGTCACATGTATTGCCTTGACACATTGCTAGATGTCAATCTGGGACGGCGAGTGTGAACTGGTGATAAATTAAATTAGATCAAAATAATATTTCACGTCGTTAGTTATCGTGATCGGAATGTGATGAGTCACACACAAAAGAGAATTGGAATATTGCAATTTATTAATTAATTAATTTAACAAGTATTTGATAAATTAATTAATTGAATTGCTTATTTATAGGTCTGAATTAATTAATTGGATTAATTAATTAACAGACCGGATTTAATTAAATGAATTAATTAAATATTGGATCAGGTCGGGCCATGCCTGTTTGGGCTCATATAAATAAGTTATTAGGGTTTACAAATCTAGAGAGGATTAATTATTCTTGTTAGCACAAGAAGAAAACTCTAATCCTGCAATCATGTTCTCTGTGTGGATCACCGTTGGAGGCTAAACAATTGGACAGCTGTGGGAGACAGATCTAAATTGCTGGAACAAAGATATGGCAAATGAGTTTGCAGATCTTGAAAAAGGTAAATTTTTATCACAATTCCTATCTAAACACAAAGAAGAATCCTGGTGGGAATCGAAATTTGTTTTAATTTCCGCTGCACATGACAAGTAGATTCCCAACATAGTCGTCGTCAAACAAATCCTATTGACTTAAAAATTGAAAATTTTGTACATTTCGCTTGTTAAATAATCTTGTAACAATAGAGAAAATCTGAGGCGTATTTGTTGGTTGGTAAATGGTAATTGAATTAGAAGATAAAGAGACGACATATTGATAAGTGTGTTCTTACACACTTATTTAGTTAACAAACATGACGTAATTAAGAGCAAAACATTGGAATTGTGATTTAATTTCGGTTAATTTGTGTATCGTAGGACATACTGATGAACATGGTGAAATTTAGAAGAAAAGAAGCGAAAAAGGACTAAATTGGAGCAAAGTGAAAGTTCAAGGAACAAAGTGCAATTATCTGAAAGTTGATCCGATGGGCACATCAAGCAATTGATCGAGCTAAGTACCAATTGGAGATCATAATGGAATATTGGAACAACTAGAAACACGAAAGGAGGTCAAGAAGTGGAGAAGTAAAGTTTGAGGACCAACATAACATAATTTGAAAGTTTGTTCTACTTTGCGGCCGCAGAGTAGAAACTCCTATGTGGTCGCGAACACTAAGGTAGGGAATTAATGAGCCAAATTTCATAAACCTATGCGGTCGCTTGAGTATATTCTGGGGCCGATTCTACAGATTTCTATTCGCTATAAAATTCTTATAGAAACATAATATGTACGCGATATAAATACCCAAATCCATTAGAAACAAGGGAGAACGGATTGGGAGACAAGAAACTACATCTTGGAGAGGATTTTGAGCGCAAGTAACGAAGAATTGAATGAGGATTTTCAAGATTTATCAAGTATTCATAATCCGGTGATGTTCTCTCTTCAAAATCTGATGTATTCTTATAATTTATCAATGCTAGGCTAGATTTTCTTGTACTAGGAGATCGATGCACCATGTGATTTGATCTTTAATTTTCTAGTTTTACAATTTGACATTAAAAACACGTTTTGATTGTTTTGAATGATTTATATACAATTTTTGTTCCCACAATTAAGGGCCCATAATTGTGTGAGTTTAGGTGGCTTGTTCTTGCATTTGAGAGAATCGGAATTGGTTCGACATAATATGAATCATCGTAGGGTCCGATAGAGGATAAAAATATACCGCTATGCCCTACGTGAATTTTTAAGTATTCTCAAGACTGCATACATTTTTATATATACACTAGTCATAGAAATATAGGCTCGTGGTATGTAAAAATAGGTTCGATACATCTTGAGAGAGAG